GGGTGATTCCATGCCTTTCACACCACCATGTACTTAGACAATCAACATCTGCCTTTCCATGGTGATTGGATTAAGGTGTCTGCACTTCCTGTGTGGATGTAAATGCTGGGGTATTTTCCTGGCAATCAGAAGTGAAGAAGTAGCTTGGATAAGCTATAAAACATCTTCAACATTCCAGAACAAGTCCAGTTGAATGTGACTAACTACTACTAGCTATACCATGACCTGAATAAATGAGAACCTTCACAGACATACTCCTTTTACATATTATTAGTTGTTTGTTTGCTTCTTAATGATGAATTTTGTTTTTCTAATTATGACATCTAGGTACTTGAATTCTCTTGTGGACACGATTTTGATATACCAGAAGTTTAAGAAACCAAACCTTGAAAAACATACATCCAAACAGGAGCATGTTGATTTTTGGATGGATTTTCTGGTTGAATCCACTAATACAGATGTTTCTGTGGTACGATTTCCAGTAAGTTCATGATTTCTGCTCACAAAACCTGCATTTACTGAACTCTGATAAAAAGTAATGTTTACATGTTCAGATGTTTACCTTCATTAAATAGCTATATGTACAGTATTTGAAGTCAGGTTGGTATTTGTTCAGTAGAAGCTATGTGCCTACTGACAATGTCTGCAAGAAGATCTGTCTGTGTTGTTGGAAACAAAAATCTTCTTTTCTTATGTTTTGGGAAGATTAGAACCTAATAGGTAAATCTGACTGGTTGGCATGAGAAACGGATACTTCTGCTTTTGGGTGTGAAGCCCAGTGTTGAATCTGCAATGTTGACAGATTATGGAGCTGGACTATATATTTAGCTATCTTACTTTAAAGATATATATCTTTAAAGTAAGCATTAGATATATGCCCCAATATAACAAAAAACAAAACGCTGGCAAATACCAACAAACTTACCTGTGTCGGCTCCCGCTGCTGAAGTCCTGGCTCATGAACGCTGTGAAAGAGGAAGTGTGGGTGAGCGCATGCGCAGTCCAGAGCATTGGGGGGGAGAGGAAGAGACACAGAAGCTGAATGGGGGCAGCCGGGAGCTTGCACATAGAAACAGCCACCCTGGGACTCGAGGAGACTGCAGTAAATCAGAGACCGGCACAAGCGCTGGAAGGACTTTGGAAAACGAGTGGAAGGAAGAAGCTGTTCAGATCAAGAGGCATTAAAGCAGTATTTGGGGGGTATTTTTTAGCTTTAATGTCACTTTAAGATGAAGTTGTGCTCAGTGGGGCTCATTTAGGCCTTGTTCACACCAAGCGCGTTCCAGGAGCAGAGTAGTTACAGACCGGATCAAAACTGCGTCCAATGTATTCCAATTGTATTTTTAGCTCCAGTTCACATTGCAGCGTTCCGTTCCAGAGCAGGTAAAAAAAACAGCAGCAGGCCCTATTTTACCTGCTCTGGAACGCATGCAAACGCATCAAAAATGCATGCAAACGCCCTGGAACGCACTGAAAGCCCATTTTAAACTAAAACATTTATTTATTTATTTTAACCAAAAACGGCCCGGAACGCATCAAAAACGCGGCACAACCCACTGCACTGTGTGTGCAGAAATTCATGCAGATCTGCTCTGCATTTGGTGTGAACAAGACCTTAGACTAATGAAGGCGGTGGAAAGTTTGAGTGGTTTCCCCCTAGCATTGGAGCAGATTAATGGGTGGACTGGTATAGTAATGTTCATGCACAGGTCTTAACTGATCAAAGTGATCTGCACTGGTTGATTTTGTAATGTATGGTATAAGCACATATAAACCACAGATCCGTTTTATGTTATGATTAGAGAAACAAGTGAAATATTGCACCGGTTGTTCTTTTAAAAATTTAGTTTTATTATTTTTTAAAAAACCCTATAAACCAGCAAACCACAAATGTACATTACCTGTTCCAACAACACTTGAACACTTGTGCCACTTGAACCATTCAAATGGGAGCGATTGTAACCCATGCGAGTTGTCTCATGATCCCTGTACATCCTTTTTTTTCTTGTGGCTGGTGTTCCTTGCTCTGTGGTCAGACCAAGTCATTTTTATGATAGACTATAAAATATGCACATACACATCTAAGGAATATTCCATTTGGTCAGCATTAGTTGCAATTTAGTGCAGTTTTCTTCACAGTCCAAAGTATTGCTTGTTTATCTGTTACCAGAGGTGAGTGCTGCAAGTGCAAAGATCCTTTGCTGTCCTAAATGACAAGTTTGACTGATTCACACTGCCTTTTTTTTCTATACTACTGAAAAATGTAAAGGTTTATGGAAACCAGATTTTAAATGTTAAACTGAGCACATCTAAAGAGTAAATATCTTGCTCCACTGACATTGCATATCTTGCTGTTTAGTTACGTTTGCGTGGTAATCTGATGCATCTTTTATTGAAGTCAACGGTAAATTCCTCCGTCTACTCTGCCGTTCACCTTGGAGATGAAGCTGTGTTTGAAGAAATGCTGTAATACCTTTTCTAGAGAAATTAAAAACTGGTCTAAAATCAACCTGTGCCATTTGCCAAAGGAGTAGCAAAGAATCACTGAGCAAATTGAACACTCATTAACCTTATTGAACGCAAAGAAATTAGATTCACTAATATTACCTAGTCATGTGCAAACCAAAATCATAATTTTTTGCCAAAAAACAAAACCAAATGTTTTATTTCGCTTCTGCATGACTGAACAAAGCTTCAACTTTTTCACTAAGCTAACAGAGCATTCATTTTGAAAATTCTTACTGCTTTACTGCAGTCATGCCATACTGTTATATATTCCATCATATATTTTTTTTTTTACAATGGTTGCACAGACTAGTGCAGTATGTTTGTTGACTATGCTGAGAAAATATTAATGCAGTTGCATATAGTTTTCAACAATGTTCATTGTCATCCATTGTTCCTAACGAGGACATTTTTTTTCCATATAGGTCTTGATCCTAGAACCTACGAAGATCTATCAGCCATCATATCTATCAATTAACAGTGAAGCTGATGAGAAAACAGTGTCTATTTGGCATGTCCTACCTGATGATAAGGTAATCTATAGGAGTAGCGGGCAGCTGCATATGCAAAATAAATATACCATGTATATATTGGCAGTGTGCTATGCTGGGTTTTTTGGGGGTTTTTTTTCTTAGACCATATAGGATGTATCTAAATAATACCTAAATGCAAACATTTTATATTGCATCTTACCAGTATTTAGATGTGGTGGCTGTTTTAGCTTTCCTTTTTTTCGGGCTACAGACACATAACCATATTTGAGGAATGATAATGACTAATATGACCATATTGTCACCAGCATCCCACCCTTTTGTTTTCGTGCAGCTGTGGGGCACAGCATGCCCCGGCCACAGCTGATTGGGCAGACACTGACAGCTTGTTTCCATGTTCATGTATTTATATGTAGATATATATATAATAATTTTGCTGGGTTGATGGTGGATTATTTGTATTTGACTTGTGTATTAGGGATAATTGCCAAAGCTCTTTAATTGGTTGATTAGTTATTTAGATATTGTGCTGTTTCGCTAATTTTATCTGCCTGTTTTCCTGCATGTTTCAGAAAGGAATTCATGAGTGGAATTTCAGTGCATCCTCCATAAGAGGAGTAAGGCAAGTTGTTAATGTTTGCTATTTATTCTCTTTTATTAATGTATTTTTTTTAATGAAAAATGTTATTTAAAGGAAACCTATACTGAAGAAGTATGGAGACTGCCAATGGCATCAGTTCTTTTGGAATCACACTGGAACAAATAAGGAGACTATTAATGTATCTTTAAAGGCAATTAGTGCCACTACCAGAATTTCTCTTGAAATCAGCCTCCTATGATGCCCTGTTCAATCTAGACACCAAGAGGGAGAGGCAACACTTGGAGCCATTCAGGCTCTACTGCATTGTACAGAGCATCATCACTGCTCTTTCATTGTCCTGTGAGCAAGTTGGGTGTGTTTTTATCAAAGCTCTGCCACTGCAGTAGAGGGTGAGAACCTTGCTGTGTTGTTTAGAAGGTGTTTCTGGATCACAAGATTGTCTGAACCGAATTGCAACCCCTTGCCAAATAAAACAGTTTCTATATATGTATTTAAGCTGTGTATTAGCTGCTTGCCTAGAATAAGCCGCCACGTCCCAGTTCGGTGCAATCATCCGTTTCTAAGTGCTTCTGTTGTATACACAGAGGGTGTCATAACTCTAGAATATCTGAAATACCAGAATGTTTCTTGTTGTTAAATCAACCTCTTCATCTGTCCTGCCTAAACACTTCCAAACTTAACCTGAAAAATAAACAATATCTCCTTTCAATAATTCAGCGTGGCCATAGCAGGGATCATTATTGTGTACTATAGATCATTATCTGTAATTTTCTTGGCTAGTGTTTCAGACACCAATTTTCTTTTTACTCTTATATATTGCACAGATCATGTTTTCTGGAGCTTTAACTTATCTCTGCACGGAAGTGAGAAAGCGAAATCAGAATTAGAAAATAAAGCTCCTGTACCTAGTATAAGTTCTTTGGTGTCTGCAGATAGTCTTAGATGTTTTAATCATTTGTACACCCTCTAATTATTGCCTGAATCAAATTCCCATACCACTGGGCAGGGTCAGTGGGTTGTAATGGACCACATTGAACTAGTCAAGCGTGGACCTTTTTTAAGTCATGGGACCCCTTAAAACTATACAAAATCTTGAGGCACCCCAGTCTAATATGTCAAGGAGTTTAAGAGGGACCCCATGAAAAAACACAACAAAAAGTGGCTTCACATGGAAGTGCCCACTTCAAATCAAGACTCCTCCCCTTCACATCAGAGTCACCCTTTGCATCAGTAGCCCCCTTCACCTCAGTCTTCATTCCCTCTTCACATCACGGTCCCACTACCACAACATTTTGAGACGCCCCTGAGGAAGCCAGAAGGTACACCAGGGTTCCACGGCAAACTGGTTGACAAAGGCTGGACTAGTCTATAAGATGGCCCTTGCAGCAGTATATAAAAGCTTAATTTTCTTTTCTAGCTGGAGTGTACCCTTAAACATATGCTGCTTGTTTGAACCAAGTAAGACAAAGGCCCACATTATTTCAGGATATGACTCAAGGCCATTCAATTAATGCAAATACTGGTAGTTACAGGTTTTTAACGATCAGAGCAGCTAGGTTGCAAAATGGAGCCGGCTGAAAGAGACTGCTCAGAACAAAAATATAGAAATAGAAAATTACAATACAATATATAGTCTTAAAGTGCACCTGCACTCAGACTTTGGACATGAAAGCATTTACATATTCTTAACAAGTGGTAAAAGAGCTATAAAGAAAGCCATTCCTGACCTCTCTAGCTGCAGTAATTTATCTCAAAGATCAAAACAAAGACTCTAAAGCTTACATTTCAGTGCCTCTTGTTTGAACTTTGAAGATGAATTTCTCCACAATACCTATAGCTAAAGAGGTAATGAGGGCTTTTTTTTTAAAAGGTGTTCACTTTAACGACTTTCGTACCTATCTTTCACTGATTAGCAAGACATTGACCAGGAACAAATTGGGAATTCTGACTTTGCAGGACTCTTACAGTCTGTAGATCTGACTGGATTTTGTCTGGAGATTGGATTGATTTACTAAAAGAGTAGAATTTATATACTTAGCAAAGTTAATGTTCACTTTGAAAAGTGTATATTGACTTTAAATACCCAATTATGTCAGAAGAAAAATAAAAGTTTTTTGCTAGTACTGATGGGTTAATTGGAGTGACCACAGCTTCATCTCATTTACTAACCTTACTGAAAATGTACTTTGCTGACTGAATTTTATCTGTCGCTTTAGTTTTAAAAAGAGTGTTTGCCTCATGACATATTTTCTTTTGCAAAGTTTCACTTACATCTAAATAGAGTGCTTTATATATTCTTTCTCTTGCAGCATTTCGAAGTTTGAAGAAAGGTGCTGTTTTCTGTATGTGCTACACAATTCAGATGACTTCCAGGTCTACTTCTGCACAGAGTTTCATTGTAAAAAGTATGTATATTTATGCAAACCATGAGGAACCATCTGTGTATTCAGTGACTGATCTTGGCTTTGCAAGAGGGAAAATTTAATTTTCCCCCATGAGAACACACAATGATAGACACAGCGCATTTGTAACTTATTGTCCGCATCACTGACTATATTCAGGACAGGTGGTTATTATGATTAATATTATTATTATCACCACCAAGAAAGTACAATTAAACTCTGTTTAAATGAACTAATTACATTCCAGGTACATGAAACTGAAAGTTGTGCAAAGTCTACAGTCTGTTTTCTTTAACCACAGTCAAAAAACAGCTGCAGACCTTTGCTCTTTATGGGAAACAGAAGTCCAGCAAGCTTCCTACTAAGCCACAGCCAGAGATTTCCAGTTAGCTTGAACCATGAGCTTTGGTGATTGCATAACTATAGGTCTGACTCCGTAGGGGGCATGCCAGACCTTTGCAGCGAGACTACTGCTTTCCGACAAGTAGTGTGGGTCTCACTCTGCATCTGCTGGCTGGGGACAAGTTTTTATACTCAGGCTGTGACTTCTTTCTATAAGGAACAAACATTATAATCATGTGCATCTTTATTTTTTCTCCTTTTTATTGTTTTCATCTGCGCTTATTGATACTTTTTGTGTATTACAAATTACTAAAG